ATCTGTTTTAGGAAAGTTTAACACCATCTGATTCTGCACCTGGCTTCCCACTATGCTAGGATTTTCCTTAGAGACCTTCCATCTAGGAATGCAGGAAATTAATTCATTGTTTTTCATATTAGTAATTATTATCTACATTAGAGCTGAATTAGATTAAAAAAGGAAGTAGCCACGTCCTTCCAAAAACCATACACATGCACCACCTCCCACTTCTGGATTTTATATCTGTAGTTTCAATTGTACCATCACTTTATTCCTTTTAATTGATGCTTGGTGGTTGCCATTGCTCTTGTCTAATCAGTATTTGACATTTGCTTTCTTCCTTTCCTTCACTAATATTCACTGGGCCAGACCCATATCTCTGATGTTTTTTAGTCATTTAATGTAAAAGAGGTCAATGAAATGCAGTTAAATACCTAACCAGCCACAAGACAGGTTATCATTACTGAAACATGGCTTGAGTGTAGTCAGTTCTACCATCCTCATGTAGTTCAGTGTGGAGGATTTTGTGAACAGCTAGCTAGCTGACAAAGGTCACACTGACATAATACCGTTAGTTAAGCAAGAAGGAGATGAGGATAGGAGTCAGCAGTCAGTGTCCAAACCTGGCAAGGGCACTGTGCCCTTGGTGCAACATCAGGATGTGGGAGAGGATCGTTAGTTAGAAACATGAAGAAAATATGTAAACAGCTGCAGCATAGTAGCCTCAAGAATGATAAGGTAGGCGTAGTTAGCTGATAAGTAACTAACCAATAATGAGCTTGCTTTTTGCAATATGTATTAGCCTCATTAACACCAATATAAATGTATGTGCCTATCAATAAAGTTTTGAGATTTGCTGATCACTCATATTGAGTGCCGCATTTATTCCGCCGATTACCACAAATGGTGACCCCAGACGTTAAATCGGTAACGGCAACCACGGTGGATCGGTGAACGAGTTCGGGTCCTACAGCAGCAAGGACGGCGAATAAGCACTGCTGAAAAAGCGAAAAGTGCCGCGCCCTGGGTGACCTTATAGAAGAGCCCGGCCGATACGTGCTGCCGAGACCTTGAAGGGCTGCAAAAACGTCGACGTTCTCAAAAATGGAAATGGAAATGGAAATGGAAAGGCAAGCAGCATATTATTTATTTACTTGCTTTTTAAAAAAGCGTCAGGTTAAGGACATAGACTTGCAGAAAGAGCTCCCACAGTTGTTAGCTTACGGGTATGCACGAGGAGTTTCTCAAAATCTTTATACAGTACATGAATTAACAGAGTGGCGTAAGTTCGGGACCAGGAGGGCGACAGGGGCCGCGGGAGAGGCCGGGGCAGACGCCAAGCGGAGATCCAGGCAGAGCGGAGCCCAAAGGAGATCGGGGCTGCGCGGGTTCGGACGAGGGCGCTCCTTTCCACACCCCCGGGATAGCGCAGACTGAGGCTGTGCTGGAGCAGGACTAATTGTTTTTGTTCTGTCCTTAGTTTAAGTGAAATTATTTGTTTCCAACAGGGGCTCCCTGCGGACCTTCCAATCCTGCTCACAACGCTGGGCTTTTACCCAACGCCCTCATACCCCCACTGGGAGCCCCGGGAGGAGGTGACACCGGGAGCGTCATGAACAGCCACACTGCCCTAAGTCCTACCCACTCTTCTCCCTCAGGTGGGATTCCCCACGATTTGCATACTGGAGGTAGAGCATCCTGAGGATGCTGAGTATTTTACTCCTCATAACCCTGTCCCATATCCCTTGGGGAGCAGTGTATCCCGTCTCATTAGTCATAAATGACTCATTAGTCATTTATTTTAGAGTGCAAGTGGTCCTGAATTCAACTGTTGGATCAACCTGCCTATTTGGCACCCACTACCCTCCTCCTTCTGAGCTGGTCCCCCCAGCATGGATGTTCACCCAAAGAGACATCCAGAGCCCCATGAGGAAGTTAAAAAAAAGCCTCCTATGCTCTGCAGCCTCCAGGCAGGGTAGGAAAAGAGCCACAAGATTTTTATGCCTTGGGATGCCAGGACACAGCACCAGGCCTTTTCTGGAGAGCTCTGGCAGCCTCACAACCACCAGAGAAGAGAAAAGGACATGGAGAATGTTTAGGGGTTGATCTGAGCTACATCTCTCTCCCCCCACAGCATCTTGCCACCCATCCTTTAAAGTCCATCTTTCCCACAGGGATGTACCCAGCCAGCAAGGGTCACCCTCTGCACTGGACATGGTGGGTGGCCAAAAGTAGGGGTTGTCTGGGAGTTAAATCCAGGACCTCTTGCACCCAAAGCAAGTGTCATATCCCTAGACCAATGAGCTGGAGTGTGCCCTTTCTGTCCCCTCCTCTACATCTCCCAGACCCTGTTGGAGATTCAGGGGGAACCCGGGACCTCTCGCACCCGAAGCGAGAATCATACCCCTAGACCAACGAGCCAGCTGCTTTGGGCTGTGCAAAACAATTTTTTTTAGTTCAAGTACTCACAGAGCTGCCCGGGGAGAAATGGGACCTGTGGCAGCTCTATTTGTCTCTGATAGTTGGCTACCATGGAGAGGTCACCCTTGTTCTTCCCTGGCTCTGGGGATGTCACCTGGGCATCTGTAGCAGGTTGCTCTGGAACGCCAGAGCCTGGAGTGGAGGAAACAACTCAAACAATGCTCTATTTCCCAAACAAGTGTTAAATGAAGAAAAAGAGATCACGCTGCTTTTGGTGTTGAATAAAGCTGAAACCAGCCTGAGTCATCAACCTCAAATTTAAACATCCTGATAGTGAGATGAAGATATAGTAGATCTGGTAAAATACCTGAATAAAGGAACAAAAAAGTAGTATTACTGATAACTTTATTAAAGCTGTTGAGCTGGCACAGCTGGCCTGGACATTTCTGGTTCACAATCCATCCTTTATAGTATAAAAGTCCTAAATTTGAATGTCAGGGTTTTCTGACAGATCCTTTCCTGAAGTGTATGTGTGGAGATTCCCCACTGGGGTAGAGACACTCGTCAAGGTCACTCCTTAAGGCTGAGCCCAAGAGATTTGCCCCCAGTCATTGGCTCACCCATGTTTCTCTGGGTGAGAAACATCAACCTTTACTTAATTTGTTTTGGCAGTTTTAATCTATTTGCTTTAATAAAATTGTTTCAATATTCCTTCACAGTGCACTATATTGTAATAGTTGTTATAGCACCTATATTGTGTAGTAAATAATTCTGATTAAGATTTTTTTGGTCGAATCATTGTAATAAATAATATGTATTTCTGTAAGTATTAATTTTAATATTTATTTTTAATCCTGCAGGATAAAGCTGTATAAAGTTTCTACTACACTTACACAATATTTTAGAGATAAACCACTGCAAAATCTGGGGCTAAGGTTGGACCCAGCCACACCCAGGCTCCTCTCTGAAAAGTTTAGAAAGACAGGGGTTTCTCTCTGCACCTCATGATTCAATGGGAGTTTCTAAATTTCGTCTGAAGCTCACACTCTGCCCAGCACAGCATGGCTATGGGCTGCACCTGCCTGGTTTTAAAATGGGGCCACGAGGAGCAGGAGGGTCAGCAGAACCTCCAGACATAGGAAGCTCAGGCAGGGGGATGTAGCTCAGCGGGAGAGCGCTTGCTTCGCATGTAAGAGGCCCTGGGTTCAACCCCCAGCATCTCCAGCTTTTTTTTTCCCTCCTCAAACCCACCTCCTCCACGGGCCAGTGATGATAAACTCGCATGTGCCTCTGGAAGAGCTCCCCAAAGGTGAGGGATGCACCATGGCAGAGCTTTCCCCTGAGGCTGCAGTGGCAGCATGACCCCCACTGCCCTGACAGCTCCTTCCCAACCCAGGAGGGAACCAGCCCTGGCCATGGCTGAGCTGCATCTGTTCCCATGGGCACTGGGCAACACTGTGCTCCTGGCAGTGATGGGACCATCCCATCCCAGGTGCCACCCAGCTAGGGAGGCTGCCTGTGTCCTCTGTGCCTGCCAGTGCCTCCCCATCCTTGGCCTGACACGGCAGAGGCCATGCCTGGCCACAGGTGCCCAAAAGGAGGGGTCATGCAGAAGCTGAGCCTAGAAGCCAGAAGCCCACCCAGTGCTCCTTCCCAGTCCACTGCTCTCCAGGGGATCAAAATCCTGAGGGAAGGGGTCAGTCACCCTGGCACCCCACCCCATCCAGCTGTAGGTAAAACCTGTCGCTGTGAGCAGGATTCGAACCTGCGCAGGGAATCCCTATTGGATTTCAAGTCCAACGCCTTCACCCCTCGGCCATCACAGCCCACTGGTGGCAGTCATTGGGGTGATGAGAACTGGGACATTCCACTTTGCCACAGGTTATGCCATTCCCCAGCCTGGTGTGGGGCTCTGCTCAGCCCAGTACTCACACCCAGAGGGCCAGGAAAAGGGAACATGCAGGAATATTTACTGATGGCCGAAAAAATTCAGGTGCCTTGGCCACGAGACAGGCAGCACAGGGAAGCATCCTCCAAGGATGCCCAGGGATACAGCAACTCTTGTAGGGGAAAAGACATGGAGATGCTGGGGGTTGATCCCAGGGCCTCTTGCATGCAAAGCAAGCGCTCTCCCGCTGAGCTACATCCCCCTGTGCAAGGCAGGGAGATGGCCTGGCTGAGTGGCCTCATCCCTCGGGCACACACTGCCAGCCTCGGGGGGTCCATCCTGGCCCACCCAGCCAGGAAGGGGCACCCAGCCTTCTGTGCCAGAGCCCTGGTTATGCTGCAGTCCCATGTGCCAGCCGAAGAAGTTAGGTGGGCTCATCAAGGAGCTGAACCCAGAACCTCTCACACCTTAAGTGAGAATCGTGCCCCAGATCTGTGCCTCCCAATTCTGGGAGTTGAAGAGGATGGCTGATGTTGCCTTTTGCCCCTTGGCACAGCCTGGAACAAGGAAATCATCTTACAGTGCCCCGGAGGTGGGGCTGGCATTTAGAGGTGGCCATGGTGCATAACTTCCCTGCATTCAGTGGCCACAGGGGCAGGTGGACCATGAAGACAGTGGGGACTCTTGGGCACCACCCTGCCCTTGCACAGGGGCATGTAGCTCAGTGGGAGAGTGCTTGCTTTGCATGCAAGAGGCCCTGGGATCAACCCCCAGCATCTCCACATTCCTTTGCCTCTCCAGACCCTGCCCTGTTGGTTGTGGGGCTGGCAGAGCCCCCCACAGACCGCCCCCAAAAGCACTGGTGCTGCCTGAGGGCATGGCAGGCCTGGGAGGCAGGGGACAGCACAGTGGGTGCCACACCCCATGCCAGCCCCTCGAGCTGCCTCAGTCATCCTGCCCAGCCCCAAGCTGCAGCGAATGGAGGGGAACAACAGGAAGACCCCAGAGGGCTCTGTAGAGACAAACAGGACAGGCTCTGACCAAAGCAACAGTTCCTGTGGGAGTGAGACCCATGTCTCGTCATACATTAATGTTATGAGTAGAAAAGTTGTCCAATTTTTTTAAGTTGCAGAGTTAACAAGTTAAACCAATTGCTGTTGTTAATAACTTCATGTTGTAATCACCTGTTGTTAATAGTTTTTCTTCAATTACCTGTTAATGGTTAGAAATCAGCTCAATTGTCCCCCTGCTGCTTCCTAGAGGATGACACCTGAAGGCTGCAGGTAGCGGGGGAGGGATGACGTCAGAGCTGGTATACAAATGAGGAAGCCCCTCACCAAAGCTTGCAGGAAAAAGCCCTAAAACAACGTGCCAACATAGAATTAAGAGATCTAAGTATGTCTAAAGGTGAGGAACTTAATCCCGTGTCTGCTAAGAGCCTTTTTACCTCTCACCCTAACCTAAAGGAGCTCGATTAGAAAGAGGCCCTCGAATATCAGACTGAAAAGGGGACTCTCCTATTGCTCTCGTGAGGATGGAAGCCCCAGCTCTTGCCTGCAGACCAGCGGACACAGCTGCATTCTTCCTCCTCCTCCTCCGGGCCACTCCTGGGAGCAGCGGCAGTGTGGGTGCGACCCGTCGTTTCTCCCCACCTGAGATGATTTTTTTAAATAAAGGCATTAAAAAGGAGAAAGATCTCCTGCCCTAGGGCACCTTGGCACCGCTGCCCTGGGCTTGCGTGGGTGCCAGCTGGCCCGTCGGTAAAAAGAGATAACCCCAGCCGCGGGAGGACTTCCCCTGGCCCCTGAATGAGTGGCCCGTGACTCCCTGCCCTACGATGCTACATATTCCTTGAGAGCAAGAAAGGAAAATGAAGACGCCGTGAACACCAGGAGGGTCGACTCCCATCCACGCAAGTAAAAGCCCAGCGTTGTGAGCAGGACCGCTTAGGGTGCGAGAGGGCCCGGGTTCAACTCCCGGACGAGCCCTTCGTTTTGGGCGTCACCACTCTGCTCCTGCCTAGCCGGTGCAGAGCCCGACGGGACCCGGCCATCGACTGTTACTCCTCAGGGACACCCGTAGGACTTTGAGCTTAGTGTGACACACAGAGCGTCACACGGGGTGTGCTCTGTCCCTGCAGTCCCAATCCATTGGTCCTGCAGAGTGACCCTATTTTTGAGTTGGCAGCGGGATGGGGATGGCATGGGAAGGGTTGTGTCTGTGGCCATGGGGCGCCCCAGCAGTGGGGTAGGTGGGGGCCCTGGCTCAGTTGGTCAAAACACCTGTCTAGTAAACAGGAGATCCTGGATTGGACTTCCAATGGTGCCTGGGAGTCTGGTTTGCCTCTCTCGTGCAAGTTCAGGTCACTGCTGGGCCTTTCCCACTGCCCCTGTTTGCCCCTCACAATGATGGCGCTGACTCAGAGCAGTTTGGGTGCACGTTTTTACTGAAAGCTTATTTCAGGGTCCCCAGGGTCCCCCACTGGACCTAATAGTTCACCAAGGTGTCCCCTCCCACCCAAGACCTGCTCCTGCCCTATGGTGCCTGCAAGCCCCACAAGCAGCAAACAGGATCTGTTTCCTGCTACCCAGCCCACATCCCACCCTCCACATTCCTATACTTGGCAAGGCTGGCTGGAGAACCTGGCAGCATCTCAGGTACCTTCCCAGGGTGCCCAGACAAATCCAATGGCCAGGATGAGCCACAGGAGAGGGCTAATCCCCACTGGGTGGGGAAAAGGGAGATGTTTGGATACCTCTCCAGGTAAGTCATCCAGAGCTACGCCCAGCATCCCGGTGCCAGCGGGGGCTCTGGGTGATGTGGGGCCAGGACACCTTCCTCTGCTCCTCTGGGCTCCCTCTACGTACAGGATCAGATTTGCACTTTGCCTTTTGCCCTCTCTGCTGCTTTCTTTCCCCAGTTACAATGAACTGCCATAATAACCAACAACTGTGATGGGAAAAACCCTCCTATACCTTCTCTGCCTGCTCTCCCTGCAGTATCCAGGGCATCCATCCACAGTTTCACACTTTCTTTGTCCCAGTTTACTTCCCTATTACACTCTACATTTTGGAAGGTTATTGCCTGCCTGCTCAACAGACGCTTTCAGCAGTAATCGCTCTTGTAAGGATTTCTAAGTGCTTTCTTCTCCATGAGTCTTCGATAAGAGACTTCCCGCCTGTCCACATCTTGGCTGGCCCTGTAGACATTACGTCAATGTAATGCCATCCCCTTCCCAAAATTTCCAGGGCACGCGTGACTTCTGATCCTGCGGAGGATGCAGATGCCAGTGTAGGCCAGGCACTTGCTGGTACCATTTCCCTTCCCGCCCCCGCCGAGTCCCCCTGTGCCGCAAGGATCCGAGCCCACCCCGAAGGTCCCCACTTCCCTCCTCGCGGCAGCAAAATCCCGACGAGGGTGGGATTCGAACCCACGCGTGCAGAGCACAATGGATTAGCAGTCCATCGCCTTAACCACTCGGCCACCTCGTCCCGCCGCGGAGGCCTGTCGCCCCCTGCCGGCCTAACGCGGTCGCCGCAGCCCCTTCTCGCCCTGTCCCGTCGGCTGTTCGGCGACTGGAGGTCTGACGGCAGAGAAGCACTACAGCGCCCTCTTAGCGCAGTAGGCAGCGCGTCAGTCTCATAATCTGAAGGTCCTGAGTTCGAGCCTCAGAGAGGGCAGCGTTTTGCGGTCTTCTTGGGGTCTTTTTTTTGTTTCCCCGTGGTTACCCGAGGTGGCTGCGCAGGGCGCCCGGCCCGGACAGCACCGACGCCTTCGTGCGGCCCCCGCGGCGGGCGGCTCCCACGGAGTCGGACCCTTCAAGGGCGCGGGGAGGCCGGAGGCGCGGGACGGGCGGCTCCCACGGGCGCGGGGCGGGTGGGGCAGAGGCGGCAGTGGCACACGACAGGACGAGGTGGCCGAGTGGTTAAGGCGATGGACTGCTAATCCATTGTGCTCTGCACGCGTGGGTTCGAATCCCACCCTCGTCGGGATTTTACTGCTGCCCCGGGTCTTCCATTTACAGATTAAACGATATGGGGGAGGGAGGGAGCTACACTGACACCCCCTGGGTAACAGACAGCAGCCTCCCTTCCTGCTCGAGAGCATCCCATACCCTGACCTTTTACAGAGGAATGAGGCACCTTTCAAGCCACCGAAAATTTTATTAGGTACAAAACACAATTTACAGCAAATAGTATAAGCCACGCTCTCACAGCTCTGATGGGTTTTGACAGATGAATTTCACATAAAGTGAGAACATCAAAAGCAGGGCACAGGCTTCCCTTCACATGGAACCAGTTAAACAACAAACTAAGCCCAACAAAAGCACATGGAGCAGGATCAGCCTTAAAGCACACTCCTTCAAATTTAAATTTATTTAAACTTAGCATTAAGTTACTATTGCTATTTTGGCTTTAAGAGAAAATACTACAAATGCAATGCTATTTTAAAAAACTGTAAAATTACTTTTTGGAAGGCAATTGACAGTTTCAGACTACTGAGGATTTCAGCTTGGGTTGGGCAGGCAAGGTAATCAGTTTTTGTAATTTGTATTCAACCTGGCAGAAGGCTCCATTTGAGAAAAACTGGCTGATTTTTTTAAGAAAAAGATGAACTGTATAGAAGTACTGCACACACTGCCTTCAACTTCCAAAGGTTTTTTAATGCTGGAGAATGCAGGCTATTTGCTCTTCCAAAAAAAAGGGGAAAATGGTTTCTCCATATCTGTTTACTGAAGGAAGCATCCTGTTTTCCAGCATGACATGGAATCTGTGGAATAAGCACCTCAGCTATTTTTAATGCTGAAAGCATGGAATAAAGTAGAACTTGGGGCCAGAACAACAAAAATCCTTCTGGATTTGCACTGAGCAACAAGAAGTACAAAAATCATGGCCAAGTGCTGCTCCAACTTGAGAATGACTGTTTTGACATTCCTGGAAACAGAACAGGAATTTCAAACCACAGTGCTGCTGCAAGGCAGTTTCTGCATGAAGGAAGCATAGACTGACATAACATTTCAGGGACTGTGGCTATGGACAGCAATTGCTCCAATGTTCCCAGGGGCCTGTGCTACCTTACAGCTGAACCTGTACCCACAATGAGAGCTAGGAGAAAGAAAAACCACCACTGTCAATTAAGGCCTTCCAAGAAAAAGCATTTGACTCATCTCTGTGCTTGTAGAGCAGAAAAGGAGGGAGTCCCAGGTCATCCATGACATGCACGCGCCGCAGCCATGTGAGAAGGGCCCAGGCTCCATGGCTGCTCCATGTTCTCATCCCAGGAGAACACTTGCTTCTTCTGCAACATGCCCAGGAGTGCATCTGTTCAACCACCTGGACCTGGACTTCTTTCCTGAGTCTCCATGTCTCAGCTTGGCTTAAATGTCCACCATGTCCACCAGAGCAGAGAGGTGGAGCTCAGAGGCAGCCTCAGCCTCCTTGGTAGCGCTGAGGAGCTGCTGCAGGTGTTTGAGTCTGTCCGACAGCGCAGAGCTTTGCTCCAGCTCTGGAACCTTGTGTCCCTCCTGACTCCCAGCCTGGGCAGAAGGAAATGAGATGAGATGAGACTTTCTCCCAAGGTAATTCCCACTACAGGTTTTGCAGCTACTGCACTCCTCAGAGCTTTAGTTTAGCTCAGCCTTCTCTTACCTCTTGGGCAGCTGACATGGGACTCTTCACCAAGGGGCAGGTGGCAGTTGGGGTGGAGAGCAGAGACTGAGGGAGGTAGAGAGGAAGACCCAGGAGATCCCCAAGGGGCTCCATATCCTCAGCTAGATATCGGT